AAACGGAAAGGGATCAAACTATCGCAAGAGGTGTTCAATTTTTCGGAGTTTGGATAGTTACAATGGAATGGTCTTGGCGGTGGGATGCACATTTTTATTCTTATTTATTATTATCACCTTGTCAAAATAAAATCATAAAATTGGGGGGGGGGGGAGTTTGTCATCAACATGAAAAGTTTGGAAAGCTCTGGTGTAGGTGTTTTTTCCTTAGCCTCACCATATATATTATAGTGCTTAGGTCTAAGAACCAGGCCCTTTAAACCCAGTAGGAGGCCACAGCAATCCCCTCCCTCTCTGCTGTCCTGTTCCTCCTAAGTACCCTTTGGATAACAGGCAAGAAAAGAATGGCATACAACTATACGGCAATTCTGACATCAGGGCATCCATGCCCAAGGCCCCTTGGGTCCTGAGGAGAGAAAAGAACATGCTCAGCTTCCTGTTTTCCAGACTTATAAACAGGTTCACCACAGGCATTCAGAACATGTCTGTGATCTGTACAATCACCTGTTGATGTGACTCCATTCTACTTACACATTGGAGGATGTGGTTGGCTGACAGGGATTCTAGATGCTTCTCTGTCTAATCCAGAGAAGAGAGTGATATCTGGACCCCTGTCTATTTATCTCTGGGGCCTTGGTGGTCATATTGCCCATGAGAACATGGACATCTGTGGATTACCAGAGGTAAGAAATGGAGACGGACCAACCTTACTGCTTGCAGCTCCAAATAGTTTATCAGTCTTTCTGCCTCTTCCAGGCCCAGAGTTTAATGGATTTTCCCCCAAATGATTTTCACTGCCCATATGTATGTGCCCCTTAGTCTGAGAGCCACACATCCACAGTGATCTGGAGCACCTCCTGGAAGGAGACTTCCCTGTAGAGAGCTGCAGAGAGCTACCAGAGTAGAGAACACCTCACCCTTTTGCTCAGTTGAACTTTTAACATAGTGGTGGTGTACAATCTCTTACTGATAAAGGGAGGAAAGCCGACTGAGCAGACTTGAATGGAACCACACCTATGGGATGGACCCTATGGAAGCAATTATTGCTCCCTGGGCTAGATAGAAGATGTCTAGCCTTTGTGAAACAAGAACTACTCCCACCACCTTATGCAGTATGGAGACGTGCTTCCTTGGCAGACTCACCACGCCATCTGGGTGCTGATCACTGCTGCTAGATGTGTCATCTCCTGTAAAGCTCCTAGCTAACTCCTTTCCATATTTATCTGAAATCATGCTGGCAATCCTGTGTTGTTGTGACATCCTGATGGTGGGCATGTGGGAGAGAGTCTGAGCACACAAGAATGCCAACCAGGTAAAGGAACATGTGTAGTACCACTGCCACCTATACCTTTGTAAACATGCTTGGAGCAATGGTTAAACCAAATGAGAGAGCTGCATTGGTAGCATCTACTTGGGTAGACAGAGCACACCTACTGGCAATGCAGTGGGTGAATCTGCATATATAGCTAGACTTCTGTCAAGTCCTGGAAGTACATGAAGTCCCCAGACTCAACGTTCTCCAGCAATGTCTGGAGAGTCTCCATCCAGAACTTTCTTACCAACAATCAAATGACCCACTTCAAATTCAATATGGTACTCTGGTCCCCCAACTTAGTGGGAATAGCGAATAGAATCTGAGAATATGGCACAACTTCTGTTGCCTTGATGTCCTGAAGATGCTTGATGACCTGTAGCGTCAATTGATGTTTTTGACACTTGCAGGCCCTGGAACAAGAAGCAAAGTGGTGAAGTATCCATCTGATGATGCTCAGAATCCATTGCTCCATGGTGGAAGCCAACCACTGGTATGGGTGCCTGGTCATGCCTATTGCTGTTACTATTGTTGCCTTCCTTGCCAAACTGCCAGCCTGCCTGCCTGACCAGCTTTGGAGAAGGTAGTCTAGCTCTACCACTGCTGTCATGCAGCAAAGCCCTGTCCACCCCAGGAGGGCCTAGAGCCTCTGCCATCCCTGGGAGCACAGCAAATCTTAACAGAATGAAAGGAGGAAAGGGTGCCCTTGCTTGCCCGCCAATCATCTCTTTGGTCCCTGGAGCAATGCTTTCCTCTTGTGACTAGCTTCCACCAAGACATAACCAAGCCCATCCCCAAAAAGTTTGCCCTCATTTAAGGGGTCACTGGAAAACTTCTCTTGGCCTTTACCTTTGCTTTCCAATTATTTAGTCATAGCTGCCTGTGCACAGCTACATCCATGATTATGGCCCTGACAAAGAACTGTAGTGCATCCACTGAAGTATGGCACGTTTGCACAGCTCCTGCAGTAAGTGGGTGCAGACAAAACTCCTGAACACCGAAAACCCGGAAGTAAATGCTCCAGTTTTCAAACGTTTTTCAGAAGCTGAACGTCCAACGCGGCTTCCAGAACAGATTATGTTCAACAACCAAGGTTTGACTGTATCCACATATAGAAATTCCCAGGGTTTTTTCCCTGGGGGAACTCACAGGAACTCAGTTCCAGTATCTCTGTTGGGTGCCATTGCCATTCTAAAAGAATGAGGGATGTGTTCATGGTGAGTTCCAGCACCTCTTTTTCTAGAAAAAACAGCACTGGAAATTCCTGGAAATAGCACTGGAAATTCCAATATGAGAGCCTGTGCAAAGAGGAAGGAAGAGTTGTTTAGGTTCATGCCTGAAAGGTGTGTGGTCAGCCTCACTCTCAAGGCCAAAACTGTTTGCCTGAGATGTGAAACCAAGCCAACTCTTGTGGAGCTTTGAAGGAGGACCGGCACTTGTATGGTGGCACTTATACACCTCAAAGACTTTCCAGCACTCTCTGGAACTCTGGAGTGGGTAAGGAAAAATAGAAGGTAGCAGAAGAGGGCACCCCCCCCCCCAAGATGGTGGCCAAAGTAAGAAAAACATGGGGGCCTAATCTGATCAGTAGAATGTTTGGGATCTGGTAGACTCTGCTTGTGTGTTCTGCTCCACAATCAGCCTTCCCTTCAGGGTGTTCCGTTAAGTTTCAGCTAAGAGGGACCAACAGCCTCTTCTTGTTTTTTGCCTCATACTTATCTCATGTTGTTGTATTTAGTTTCTCTCATTATGTTATTTTGTTATAGTTTTCTTTATTATTAAAGCTTAGTTTACATTTAAGTAAGCCACTTATTTTTCTCAAAGAAAAACATACCCTGCTGAGGAAAGGTGTTGAATGTCCTAAACTGGGTAAGTGAGGGGATATTTTCCCAGTTTGCTAGGAGGATTGATTTTGTTCATCACCTCCCAGCTCCACAACATCCACGGGGCTGCAGTCTGAGGGGTCACATACACCTGGATGCCCAGGAAGGGTCCACAACCTGTACTGCTGTCTACAGCAGGGGGTACTTGCCAAGCCACGGGCATGAAGGCCCTGGCTGAGACATCTAAGCAGCTCTAGGACAAGGCCTTTTTCTTCTGGGAGCAGGGATGCCAACTTGAATAAAATGCGGGGGGAGGTAAGCCTCACCCTGCATAATTGACCACATGATGCGGCGCATGCAGCCACACACACCATTTGAATGGTAACACCATCAACTTGGGGGGCAGCCCCCCAATAGTTTATTGGGAGGACCAAAGACCCCTCAGCCCCTAGGAGTTGGCTCCTATGTGAGGGGAGGGACACCATGGCCAGACCCCCTCTCCCAAGTTCCCTGCTTACCAAAGCAAGGTGTTGTGTTGCCAGAGCCGCCACTGAGGTGCACCTGGGCAGTGAGCCCCAGAGCCCCTTGCGCATGCAACCTGAGGCCGCTCCATGTCAGCAGATGAGTTAGCAAAGATGGTGGCGAGGTCAGACTTTCCAATGCCTCAGCCCTCCAATCCCTTCCATTCTCCTCCACTCTTTCCTCTTTCTTTCTTTCTTTCTTTCTTCCCTCCCTTCCTCCCCCCCCCCTCTCTCTCTCTCTCTCACACACACACACACGCACTGCAGTCCTAAGGTGGGAAGCAGGAGAAAGGCCAGGTGGCCAAATTTGGGGTGGGGATCAAAGCTCAAGGCTATCTTAGAGCTATGTAGAGCAACCTGCTGTAAAGTTGGTCAGGAAGTAACTAACTAAATAAATAATTTATTATTATTATTTATACACCGCCCATCAGACTGGGTTTTCCCAGCCAATCTGGGTGGCTCCCAACAGAATTAAAAGCACAATACAACATCAAACATTAAAAATTTCCCTAAACAGGGCTGCCTTCAGATGTCTTCTAAAAGTCAGATAGTTGTTTATTTCCTTGACAGCTGCCCTGGACACAGAACTGACCTATGTCTCCATGGACAGCTGTGAGTCCAAAATGACTCCCAGGCTGCGCACCTGGTCAGGGTCACCGTTACCCCATTCAGGACCAGGGAGTCCTCCACACCTGCCCGTCCCGTCCCCCCAAAACAGTACTTCTGTCTTGTCAGGATTCAACCTCAATCTGTTAGCTGCCATCCATCCTCCAACTGCCTCCAGACACTCACACAGGACATTCACCGCCTTCACTGGTTCTGATTTAAAAGAGAGGTAGAGCCCAAACCCCCTGGTGGTCTCTCCCAGCGGCTTCATATAGATGTTAAAAAGCATGGGGGAGAGGACGGAACCCTGAGGCACCCCACAAGAGAGAGCCCAAGGGTCCAAACACTCATCCACCCACACCACTTTCTGGACACTTTCAGGCAGGAGCAGCTCCCAGCCCCTCTAGACGGTCCAGAAGGATGTCATGGTCGATGGTATCAAACTGGGGAGAGGTCTCCTGACCCACTCAGATGACCTCTTCTCAATTTACTTCTTCCTGTCCAGTGGAGCAAGTGGGCAGGGACAACCATACATGGATCCCCTTCTCCATCTGCAGGAAATGTCAACTGATGCAACAGTGAAGTACTTTTGAGGGTTGAAGAGGTCTGTCTGACAAAGAGAGGGTAGAGAGGGAAAGGTCAGGCTTAATGAAAGGAAAGGCTTTCTAAAACCATTCATTCATTTGAACATGATTATGTTCTCAAAGATTTTAAGCAAGGAAAATTCCCATTCCTACCTGGAGATGTCAGGGATTGAACTGGCACCTTCTGCAGACAAAGCAAATGCCCTACCACTGAGCCATGGGCCCTGCCCATATTTAGTTTAGATTTACACACACCTCAGCCAAATCATTCAACACAGTGGCTGCTGGTGATCAGCCGGGCTAGAGGGAGCAGGGACAGAGACAGAATCCCAAAGAAGGCTAGGCAGGAATAACAATAGGCAAGAACACTGCAAGGTGCAAGGCTACAGAGATTCACATTAAGAGTAAACCCACTGAGCATAGTGGGACTTCTGGGTAAAATGCATAGGGCTGCTAGTAATTATAGTATAAACAAACATTACATATAGTGAAAATGCAATAATCTTATACAGTCCAGCAAACATGACCTCAAAAAACTGTTATTTTACAACCCAGTGCTATAAACATTTACTCACAAATGAGCCTTGTAGAATGCATTAGGACTTGCTCCCAAGAAAGCGCATATTGAATTGCCATTTTAGGATTCTCTTCTTTCTACTGGTCCTGTTCTTCTGCCTTTAAGAGCAGTTTGCAATGCAGAAATTAAGCAGGAGAAGCTCTTCACAGCATGGCCACTGGTACCCATAGGAGAAGAAATGGTAAAAAAGCTGGCAATTCTGCTGCCAGCTATATAGTCTAGAAAGATGCCAGAGGCCATAAAATTGCAGAGACAAGTATGATTACCACCTTTTCTCTACACAAAACTACTGCACCTTTAACTGCCACAGCAGAGGCAGATACTCAACAGGTGTATCTTTCCTAAGAATGAAGATTCAACAAAATTTGAGAGGCTGCCCCAGGCAATGAAATGCATTCACTAAATTTCAACAGCCACAGTTCTGTTGCCAAACCCCATTTCAGGGCATGCAAACTTGTCAGACCCAAAGCCAATTAATTTAAGACCAACGGAGTGTACAAGCCAACAAAACAAAAACACATACAAAAAACAAAGCTACAAAATGCCATTTCAGGTCAATCAAAGACCTCCCCTCTCACATCCAAAGCATTAAGAGTAAGGAAGGAAAGGGGAGAGGAGATTAAAACTATATTGTTGCTGCTGGTCTGGTTCTGAGAGCTCCCAGGGTTGCTACTACAGTGGTGCCTCGCAAGACAAAAATAATCCGTTCCGCGAGTCTCTTCGTCTAGCGGTTTTTTCGTCTTGCGAAGCAACCCTATTAGCGGCTTAGCGCTATTAGAGGTTTAGCAGCTATTAAAGGCTTAGCGGCTAAAAGGCTATTAGCGGCTTAGAAAAAGGGGGGGGCGAAAAAAATCGCAAGAATCGCAAGACTTTTTCGTCTAGCGAAGCGAGCCCCTAGGGAAATTCGTCTTGCGAAGCGCATCGAAAATCGGAAAACCCTTTCGTCTAGCGGGTTTTTCGTCTTGCAAGGCATTCGTCTTGCGGGGCACCACTGTACTGCTTTCATGGGAGTCACAGTGCTTGAAGTCAGTGTTAGAAACTGAGATATGAAAGCTAGGAGCTAAATGGCACCTTAAACCTAGGTTATGGGAACAACAATGGAATGTCTACAAGAATACAAAGCTGAAAATGAATGAACCGCAGCTAAAATATTATGTTCATTTTTCACATGGTCTAGTCCTTCCACCCCCCAAATATTCTTAAGAGGATCTCTTCTCCAGGCTTCAGAGAGTAGCTGGAAGTGGGGAAGCTGAAAAAAGTTCTCCTTTCCTTCCACTCTGCAGTTTTAATTTGAAATCTTAGGTGCAGAACTGCGCCCAGAGCTCAGAAACTGCTCGTGCTAATGAAATTCCGTGTCACAAAATGTGCCTAGAACAACAGGAGTTTCGAACACTGCTTGAAATTAAATGGTTGTGGATGTTGATCACAGACACAATTTATGCCAAAAAAATTTCCTCGTGATTAATGTAAATATCTGTGCCCTGATTGGCTAGGTGCCACCAATGACAAGGAAGTAAGTCTATTTAGAAGACTGGCAAGCCTTGTTGCCATCCTGAACACTATTTTTCAATGGGAATTGCTTGAAGAAACCTATTTTTCTGGAGCAGGGCCAGGCCCAGGCCACAGCAACGCAGACTCCTGGAACGCAGAGAGCGCAGAAAGTGAATGATTGTAACTTGAGTGGCAGAAACAGCAAGTGGGAACAGGCTTCAGGGTGGGGGCTTCCACTGGTGGTTCACTGCCCCTTATATCCTTATCCATTCCTTCTTGGGGGGACGGGACAGGGGGCTGAGTTTGTAGCCAGATGGAAAATGAGTGGATTGAGAGCTAACTGAATAGGAGTTGATTCTTTGTTTGGAAAAATTGGGTATGTGCCTCCAACCCACAGCAATGATTCTGCATCTAGTAACACCCAACCATAGTAGCTATTTCCTCAAATGGTTGGTTGTTGGATCAAAGTATGCCATGTAGGAGAAAGACATTAGAAAGCTGAAAATGGTTGTATAATTTTGTGTTTGTGAACAGCCAGTAAACAGCCCATATTCAGTGGTTTATATAAATAGAATTAGGCATCTTCTGTTTAGTCATGGCAGCTGTCCTAGGGGGTTCCTGAAGGGCCAGTCTTGTAGCCCATGTTGTTTAATATCTATATTAAACTAAGCCACTGGGCGTAGTCATCAGGAAATTTAGAGCAAAGTGCCATCAATAGGCTAATAACACCCAGCTTATGATATCAGAGGAAGCAGTGATGGTTCTGAATTGGTGTGTGGATTAATGGGCTAAATGTATATCAATAAACAAACTGAATTCAAACAAGATGCAGGTCCTGTGGGTGGTGGGTGGTTCTGAAGTCTGTGCTATGATGTGGTTGCACACTCTTTAAAGGAGCAGGTTGGAAGTTCAAGGTGCTCCTAGAACAATCGTTGTCAGTTGAGGTCCAAGTGACTTCAGTGGCTAGGAGCATCTACCACACCCATTTCTGCACAGGGATAGCCTGGTACTATAATTCATGTATTCATGTAGCTCTGACTAATGTAATGCACCTACATGAGGCTGCCCTTAAAGACAATCCAGAAGTTGCAAACTTGTGCGAGATGTGGCACCCAGAGTGCTGATAGGAACAGCAGGTCAGCTGCATATAATTCGTTCTCTAACAGCTGCAGAGGTTGGCAGTCGTCTTCCAGGTCCAATTCAAGGTGCTTATGTTGACATTTAGCACCCCAGACAACTGGGGCCCAAATATCCGAGGAAATAGCCTTCCTCCATATCATCATACCAATATATTAAGCTGAACAGATGAGGCTCTGCTGGTGGTCTCTGTTAAATGAGATGTGTATTGTGAGGGCCCATGAAGAGTTTTTTAGTTGTGGCTCTGCATCTGTGCATCTTGCTCCAACTTCATTTACACATCAGGAAAAACTCACCTTTTTATGTGTGGCTTTTAGAGGCTGAGTTAAGTCATTTTTAAATTATGATACTATCATTTATGTATTTGTTTATTTTCATAAAATTTAGACACTGCTTGATTGTTAAAAAGTATTTAAACAGGGATTACAAAAAAATAAAATCAAGAAAAGTTTGTAATACTTTAAACATACGAAAAGCTAAAATACTAAAACAAGTTAAAATTCACAGCAATTTTCTACATAATCTGGGTAGGCTTGTCTAAACAATGTTTTTAGCAGGCGCCAAAAAGAATACAGTGAAGGCACCTGCTTGATATCAATAAGCAAAAAGCTCCAAAGTGTAGGTGCTGCCACACTAAACAACTGAGTTCTTACAAACGTGAAATGGTCATTATGCAATAGTACCAGTGTAAACTCTGAAGTAAGCCTCTAGGAAAAGAATTGGAAATGCAGCTAATTTCACTCTAATGCGGGTTGTGCACAAATCCTACTGTAGGACTGGACAAGTCTCTGGAGCCAACTCAGTGGTGAGTTGATTTTGCTTTCTAGGATCTGGAGTTGCGGTCAGGGTGGATAAAAATCAATGATTTTTTATATTTTTTTAAAAAAAAAATCAGACTTTTTTTAATTTAAATCAGATTTTTTTTAATTTAAATTGGATTTTTAAAATAAAATGCTTTTGGAGGAAAAAATCTTTGTAAAGATAGGTTTCTGTTTAAGTTGCATTATAGTCCAAAGGCTATTCATCAAGAAATAAGGATTCGTTTTAAGTTTTTCATGTGTGCTGAAACTCAGTCTAAGGTTTTTTTTAAAAAAAGAATGTTTAACCGCATCAGTTAACAAAATGGATACATATGCTATAATGTTGTTTTAGTTAAATAAATTGTTTAAATTGTTATTAAGGAAATGATGATTTTTCTCCTTCCAATAAAGTACAGCAGAAAAGTTGTCCAAATATAAACAGTTAACTTATTAAACCTCACAATAATTTCATAATTATCTGTCTATGTATTTCTAACAGTATAACCAAATCAGTAATTTTTTATATAACTGTAAGAACTACTCTGAAAATTTATTATTCCAAAAATGAAACTTTCATCTGGTTGTAAATATTAAGATTATACCAGCAGGAATGTATTTCTGTAAAGCCCCCCCCCCCCGATTTAAATCAAGTCTTACTGCCTAGTAATTTAATTCGTGATTTAATTCGTGATTTATAATGATTTGATTTAAATCAAATATACCCTGGTTCCGGTACATTAAAATGTCAGTTATTAACTCTGGCTCCTAAATTTTAGAGATGGCTCTCAGATTTGGACAAGATTTGTCCAGGCCATTCTACTGAACTTAAGAGGATTTAAGACATTCTCTCTTTTTACTTTCAAAAATGATTTGCCATGCAGTTAGTTGTTCGAACTTTTAAACCGAACTTTATGCAAATTCATGCTGTAATATTCTGCATTCCACTTCAGTTTGCTGCTTCAGGGGGCAATGTACAGTCTGGAGTGTGAATGGAAGTGCATGTATAATTGAGAACTACCAATTATGTTCAAAACTTATGATAGAAAACTACTACTATCATGTTTAAACAGCCCATAAAATTTTAATGCATTTTCTTTTCAAAAACCAAGAAAAGTCAATAATAAAATGCTAAGCCTGCCAGTTTACAATCAGAGTTAAGGCTCTTACAATGCCCAAAAATCAGAAGACAAGGCTAGTACCTTCATATACATGCCCCATGA